AGGAATATTTCTCTTACAGATTGTCTCCTCGATATGATGAATTTAATCCGATATTGAGTGCGGGAAAATTGACACAACAATACATGGTGGATGCTTATGTGAGAGCTGAGGCGAATGACTTGAACTGGGTGAAAAATAATCAGTCAACATTGAGATCAGAGAAATATAATGGTTTAATGGATGCGATAGAATGGGATGAGGAAGTTCATGGGAGTAATAACCTGATAGGAAAAGCAGTTATACTGCCTTCAAGTTTCCAGGGTGGAGTACGAAACATGCAGCAGTATTATCAAGATGCTATGGCCATTGTCACAAAGTATGGAAAGCCTGATTTATTTGTAACAATGACTTGCAACCCAAAATGGAAAGAAATAACTGAAAATCTCAAACCTTGGGAAAAATCTGAATTCAGACCTGACTTGGTCGCACGAGTATTTCACTTGAAACTTAAACAACTTCTTGATGACATTACAAATAGGCGTAAGTCATTATTTGGGAAGGTTCTTGCACATGTGCATGTTATTGAGTTTCAGAAGAGAGGTCTTCCACATGCACACATTCTGATCATCTTAGACACGGACGAAAAAATTACCACTCCTGAAGATATTGATAAAATTGTGAAAGCAGAGATTCCAGATAAAGAGACTTCGCCACGACTTTTTGAAATAGTCACGAAACATATGATCCACGGACCATGTGGGAAGAGAAACCCTTCAAGTCCCTGCATGGTTGACAGTGATTGCACGAAGAACTTCCCAAAGTCCTGTGATGCTACGCTTGGAAATTTGGATGAATATCCATATTATAGACGACGGAATCAAGGATTTGTTGAGGTGAATGGGAAGTTGATAGATAATAGCTGGGTTGTTCCTTACAATCCATACTTATTACTAATATATAATTGTCATATAAATGTGGAGATCTGTTCATCAGTAAAGAGTGTGAAGTGCTTATACAAGTATGTATACAAAGGTCATGATTGTGCAAACCTTTGTATTACTGAGAGGAACGAAAGAGATGAGACGAAGGAGTATGTGGACTCACGATATGTGAGTGCACCTGAAGCGATTCATCGAATTTTTAGATTCAAGATGCATGATCAGTCGCACACTATCTATAGACTACCAGTACATCTGCAAAATGAACACATTGTGTACTTTCAACAGGGAAATGAACAGGTGGCTGCACATCGAGCTCAGAGTAAAGATACGAAATTGACAGGATGGTTTAAGTTGAATGTAGTAGATGAAACTGCGCATGACTTTACTTATTCCGAAATACCCAAACACTTCGTTTGGAAGGATACGACTGCAATGTGGGAAAGGAGACAAATGGGAGGAGAGAAAGTGATTGGGAGAATGGTAAATGTAAGTATTAAAGACCCAGAAAGATACTATCTTCGATTACTTTTATGCCACGAAAAGGCAGTGACATCTTTTCAACACTTACGAACAATTGTGGTGAACGACGAGTCCGTTCAGGTAGGTACCTTTCGAGAGGCTGCGAAGCGCAAGGGATATCTTTTGGATGACACAATTTGGCAAGACACAATTCATGATGCCATTGTTTATGCAATGCCATTCCAGCTTAGGCAAATGTTTGCCTATATCTGTGCTTATGGTCTTCCCTCTGATGCTCTTAAGTTATGGAATGATAATTTACAGTATTTGACAGAGGACGTTTGCTATGAGCGACATCTCAAACAGGGTGAATGTCAAAGATGTGCTGAGTATGCACTTAAGGATGTAAAAGATACTCTGACTCTTAGTCATTCACTCTGCAATTTCAATTTACCTGATGTGGGCTATGATTTGTCAAGTATGAATCAGATTATCTATGATTCAGACGTTGAGCAGAAGGCCGCTGATGAGATGATTACATCTTTGAATGATGACCAACGACAAGCATTTACAACAATAATCAATGCTGTGAATGATGAAGAGATTACCCTAAATGTTTTTTCCTGGACGGTCCCGGAGGAAGTGGGAAGACATATTTGTATCGAAGTCTTCTTCATTACTTTCGAGCAAGGAATGAAATTGTCATTCCTACAGCATCAACCAGAATTGCATCAAACTTGCTCAGTGGAGGTAGAACCTACCATTCTCTGTTTAAGTTACCTTTAGAAGTCAATGAGACATCCATTTCAAACCTGAGTTTGGACTCGAAAGATGGAAGAGATATTAGATTAGCAAAGTTGCTTATCGTGGATGAATGCACCATGGCATCGAGCCATGTTATGAATGCCATTGACAGAATTTTAAGAGAGGTAACTGGACATCAAATTTCATTTGGTGGGAAGGTAATATTACTTGGAGGTGACTTTCGGCAATGCTTAAACATTCTCCCGCACGCAATGCAATCAGCGATTGTCCAGTCTGGACTTAAGTATTGTGATTCTTGGAGCTTCTTTAAGAAACTCACATTGAGTAGCAATATGAGATCACAGGACCCTAAATATAGTGAATGGCTGTTGAAATTGGGAAATGGCACATTGGGAAATTCTCTTCAACTTGAACACACTATTGAGGTTCCCCCTGAATTTCTTTGTGAAGGTGATTTGGTGAAGGAGGTATTTGGTGAGCAAATAACTCCTGATATGATACCAACCATTAAAAATAGGGCTATACTTTGCCCTAAAAATGCTGACGTCGACAGAATCAATGACGAAGTTTTGAAACTTTTACATGAGCAAGAGGAAAAAACTTATTACAGCTACGATGAGATACAAACTGATGATCACCAGGAACGATTAAATTACCCTATAGAGTACCTGAACAGTGTACGTGCATCGGGATTACCCCCTCATGAACTCCACTTGAAGGTTGGCACCATCATAATGCTGCTGAGGAACCTCAACACAAAAAGAGGATTATGTAATGGAACCCGATTAGTTGTGATGAGTTTAAGAGATCATGTCATCGAAGCAGAAGTGCTTACTGGGTCCGGATCGGGACAGATAATCCTGATACCACGAACTGATTTAACAAATAATGGTTCTGATTACCCATTTACCCTGAAACGAAGACAGTTTCCTGTCAAGGCTTCGTTTGCAATGACCATCAATAAGTCACAAGGACAGACTCTTGACAGGGTTGGAATTTTTTTGTCTGAACCTGTTTTTGGACATGGACAACTTTACGTTGCTTTTTCCAGAGTAAGGAGAGCAACTGATGTCAAAATCAAGATTCTGAAAACATCAGAACAAGGCAAATTGATTCCAAATAATAATAATTTTTTTACCAAAAATGTTGTGTATAGAGAAGTTTATGATGGGATAAATGATGGAATACAGAATACAGCTAAAGAATATCTTCAGTCTGTAATACAGAAATACTGTTTGCTGTATATTGATCTGTTAACATTACTTTTTAACATGAAGATTTGTATATATTTATACTTGATTTTTTAATTATATTAATTCTATTGAACAATTTTGAATAAAGAATAGCTTCACTTTCTCATGTACAAATACTGTTTGCTGTTTGCGTATTGATTTTTTAAGTTTAGTTTCTAAGATGAACAGTTGTATACATTTATATATATTAAGTACATCAAACTTTTAAAAATTAAGCACACACAACTTTCATATATTAAGTGCATTAAACATGCCTCATAGGAATTTGTAATACTGCTAAAACGCCCACTAGGGGCCTCCCCGGCTACTAGTAGCCTATAAAGGAAGGTCTGTCGCCGTGAATGTGAAGTCTGGAACACGAAAAATAAATGGTACCCCTTTTTGGGCAGACTGTCTTTAATTTTTTGTTTTAGTTATAAATTTAATTATAAACTTTCCATGTGAACAGCCTTTTCATAAACAAGAGGACAATGAGTTGCCATTGATAACTCATACGCACTACCCGAACCTGGTTTTAATTTTTTGTTTGCTGACAATTTATTCCACACGTGGATTAGTACACTATTATTTATTCGCTGTAAAACATTTTCTGCTGAAGAAGACGAGAAATAATCGCGCCATCTAGTGTAATATACAGGAAAAGCTGTTATTGGGTCGAAAACTTTAATACCGCAATCGAGCTGTTTTGTTATGTTATCTGTAATTTCTTGGTGGCAGAATGAAGAGATTTCTTTCGTAATTAATAACGGACCGATGCAGGCAAAACAATTACTATCGTATGATTGCTTGATGTATTCCATACACTTGTAAAGTATAGTGTGGTTGCGCTCCATTGCGAAAATACCACTACACAGTTGATTACTACTTTCTTTAATCACGAAATTCTTATAAAACGGAAAAGTTTTCATCATGACAATGTCTAAGTCTAAAAACATTCCACCATATTTCCAAATTAAAGCGTATCGAGTGGCATCACTCAGATGGGATATTTTATAGTTACTTTTATTCCACTTTCCTTCAATATACCATTCCAACAATGGCGTATTTTCAAATACTTTTTCAAACTTTGTCCGTTGTATTTTGACATTAGGTAATAACGTGAAGTTGATATGTATGTCTGGATTTGATGTGAACATTAATACATTAATAAGAGATGAAGGATAATGTCTTGCAGTCGATTCGACTGCACATGCTTGACGAATGTTCAGCGACGAAGAACTTGATGTTTCAACAAAAAAAATATTGTGCTGTTCGGTTTTGTAATCTGAAATATAAACAAAAATATGTTAATATATGTCATTTAAATCTTTCAGAAATTAAATTATAATTAGTGATAATTAAACGACATTGTGGAATTTTTATTACGGCTAATTAATTATAGAGTACAGTAGATTGAATTGGAAAAATACAATTTAAGATATGGGCAATCTGCCAAGTGAATGCTGACCTCCAGTAGCACTTCAGGAAATTACTCCACATTTAGGAAATCGGGTTATGCACGTGGAATTTTCGCTCCCGGCAAACTCCACGTGCATAACCCGATCTATCTGTATCCCCCGAATGTTACTTTTCCGACTCCTCTTATGTCGTATCTCACTTGACAAAAATAGTAAAAATACTGTATATATTTTATTAGTTTCCATGTTTTCTTTTGTTATTTTAGTAATAATAAAATACATTTTTTACGATAAAAAACTATTCGTTATGAAATTTCGCTGGAATTTTACATCATATGTACGCAAACTATATTTTCCTTATTGTGTCGGAGGAAAAGTTATGGTTTCATCCCATGTCTTTCCTTCTATGAGTGTAAAAATAAAATTTATAAACAAATTTATGGGAATTACGTTTAAAAATATGTAGCTTATTTTTTATAGTTCTATTTTATTCAGTTGAGGGCTAAACATGAATTAGGTTTAAATTAATTAAGCAGCGAGTTAAGTATGTTTGAACCATTTACATTTTTTAAAATTTAACTCTCTGCCCTATGAGAAGTGAGTTTTAAAACTCGGTCGTTTTTCTTGGTCATCGTGGATTCATCCGGGTGGTAAGAGACGATGCTTATCCAGGACAGACATCAATGAACATTTCCTGTGAAAATGCTCGCTCGGACTCAATTTCATATTCCTTAAACCAAGGAACTTAACGTTCTCGGATTTCATGCTGTCTCGCTCTTTATTTGAACAAATGGTTATCACTGGATATGCCTATATGAATTGTACGAAACATATTGTGAGTCCCACCATTCTGAAAAAGTTTCGTTGTCATTTTAACTTATATATGTTATTAAATTAATATTTGCATTATTTTGTATAACATTAATTTTAATCAATTTATGTTAAGTTAATAATGTAATCTCTTGATAAGTTGAAAATTTTATTGTACACTCACTGCCAAAACTTAAGCACCGAGCAGAAAATGTTCATGTCCGGAAAGCAATCTGCATTTGAGAGGCTGCAATTCACTGCAGAGGTAGGTGGAAGTATACAAATATGTTACGTTACTATCAATCAAGTTTACGTGTCGCGAAATATGCAAAACAGGCAGTCGTATAAGAAGTCAGCCTTCTGAAGTGTGAGAGGAGTTGCAAGTACCGAGAAAAAGTGTGAACTGTCGTACAATTACTGTGCATGACTGACGTGTTTCTATGACTTCCAGAAGACGAGTAACAGTGAGCGCTGGCGGTGTGTGGGATGCCTTGAAACAGGACGATCAATCACAGATGTTTGTGTTTTCTTCGGCGTTCATCATTCTGTCATTTCACGGTTATGGAAACAATTCCAAATAAGCCAAACAGTTGTTCGAAGCCCTGTGGCCGGTCGCCCAAGAGTTACGACCCCTGCAGAAGATCGCTATATTGCTCTTGTAACCAAGCGGAATCGAAGAGCAACCTCTACACGTGTGACATCGATGGTTGCAGCAGCCATTGGTAAAACGATATCTGCTACTACTGTGCACCAAAGGCTACACAAGAATGGACTGTATGCCCGGGTACCACGAGTTTGTCTTCCACTATCCGTCCAATCCAGAGGTACACGATTAAAGTGGTGTCGGCAACATGTGAATTGGACTGTGTCTGATTGGGGTAACGTTATGTTCACGGATGAGTCGCGATTTTCCCTGGAGCCAGATGACAAGCGTGTAAGAGTATGGAGAGAAAAAGGCATTACCCCAGAACATCATCGAGCATCACGCATTCCGAGATAGAAGCATTATTGTGTGGGCAGGCATTTCATTGGGATATCGCACCGACCTGCACATCTATCGAGGGGGTTCTGTGACGGCTGTCCGGTATCGGAATGAAGTCCTCGAACCCATTGTGAAATTGTATGCTGCAGCAGTTGGTCCTGCTTTTGTTTTAATGGATGATAACGCACGACCCCATAGAGTGAAGGAATCGTGCGTATGGATTGGCCGGCGTATTCGCCAGACCTCAATCCCATTGAGAATCTTTGGGATACCTCGTCCGTGCTGTGTGTGCACGTTTCCCACCCCCTGCCACTCTCACAGAGTTGCAAACTGCTCTACAGGAGGAATGGCACTTATTTGACTCTGGAGTGGTTGATCACCTCATGGAAAGCATGGTTATACGCTGTATACTTTTTGTAAAAATAAGGGGTGACCATTTACCCTATTAATGTCGGTTTTGTTTGTTTGTTTTGGATTTAAACATCGTTTTGTTAATGATTCCAAAATGATTTCATCTTATACTTTATGAAAATTCAATATTGTTTTCATTTTTCTATGTAATTCTTTGTGTTGTTTCATGCATAAACATATTTGCTACTGTCCTGTCGCATTTTGTGTCAATCACAGCTGTATTTGTCGATTTTTTCGCAGTTTATTGCTCCGTGCTTAACTTTTGGCAGTGAGTGTATTTTAAACTATATATATATATATATATTTCTATACGTATTCTAAATTTATTTTATGTTCTGTCTGTATATCAAACAATTGTTATTTCCCTTTGCACCGACACGTTCATGTGTGAAAGTGACACCATGGTTGTTTACGTTATCAAGTAGTGTTTTAGTAATTTCGCTTATTATTCCATTTTTAGGGACTCTCTTTTGAAAATTTTTAGCAATACAGATAAAAAATAATCAAGAGAAACAAAAATTATGTTAATTGTGATTAACCTCACAATACTCGAAGGAAAAGACGAAGGGTATGATCGTCGCTTCCTCTTTTCAACTAGCGTTAAGTGACAGTTGTTGTCTTATCCACATCACGTGGACACATTTAATTCATTCTAGACAAGAGAGAATTAGAGCTAAAAATAACCAATCAAGCTTATTTCTTATTATATCAACTGCCGCCGGAATAAAATCATTATTAGTCAGAAAAAAATAAAAGAAAAGAGAACATCGAGAAAAAGAGAGAGGAGAGTAGACAAAAATCAAGAAAAACAGTCAATTTAGAGAAAGGAGAGTCAACAATATAGAAAGGAATCAGACCAGAGAAGACTGTCAAATTTGTAGGAGATAGAGTCAGCAAAGAGAGATAAAGAGAGAAAAGGATAAGGTGCAACAGTAAAACGTAAAAGAAAGAGAAGACAGAAGATGAAAAGAAGACAACTCTTTTCCTAGTAAGTTGTTAGTCGCAAATTTCGGATTACTCCCCGCCAGGTATCCCTGGGTTTATTAGTAAAGAAATAGGCTAGATTCCGAGGATAGATTGTTTATCCAAATATAGATATAATGTTATCGACAGACTATTTTCAATATTAATTATAAACTTAATTTTAATGTTATGTTTTGCTTTTGTAATAAATTTTCCTTTTTTTTTAATCTTAAGTAGGTTTAGCTGATTTTACATCGTTCATCTGAGAAGCCAATTCGTTGACTTCTGAATGACTATTTCCTTTGCACCTTGTGTATCTCTATCTTATCTAGAGTTTAAATCGGAGTTGTGTTCGATAATACACACCTTGTGGCAGGACCAAAAACTTCGAATCTCGATTTCTCTATTTTGACGGCTCCCAAGGTCCCACAATTCCATTATTTAACTATTTATTTATTTATTTATTTATTTAGACAAACTAGGCCATTATTTAACTAAATACTCTATATCAAGGGTGGCCAACTTTTGTGTACATAAGATCTACTTTTTATCGTAAAAATGTGTCGCGATCGACTCGTCGTAGGCATAGTCTAAGTCAGGGATGGGCATTCCGCGGCCCGAGTCGCATAAAATGTGTATAAATATATCAATTTCCTAGCTTAAGAAGTATGCAGCAAAAATTCAAATGTTATTTTCTACAACTTATGTGTGTGAATAGTTTTTCCTGCAATGAATTTAGTAAAAATTAAAACGAGAAACCGGCTCACCTCGAAACTAATTTAAAACTAGCAGTGACTAATATTTAATCAAATATTTTTGATACATTACGTTTACATCAGTTCTAGAAGCTAAATTAAGTATACCTATTCTATTTTATAATTATATATGAATAAATAATTGTGATTTACCGGCATTT